ACAATTAAATTAAACAATATATTTATGTAACAAAATATTTGTATAAAATCCAAATATGACATATGGTTTCATGTAAAAATAGTCAATTATAGAACAAATTCCGCGGGTTCAATCTTTACTTTTATCCCTCTTATAGCTTAATTTAAAAAGTTGATTAGAAGTTTTTTGAGTGAAAAAAAATATGAAATTATTATATATAATCGGTTTCAGGAATAAATTAATAAATATACATAGAAGATATATAGATATTAAAAAATAGAATAATTTCATTGCCAAAACTTACTAAAATCATCATCGTAGGCCCTAGTCATGCGCGCCCTAGTAGATCTTCTAACAGGTCGTGAATCACCTTTTCTACCACGTCGTTTCACATCGGCAAAGCTGCTGTCATCAGATGATGTGATATGATCATCAAAGTCCTCCTCATCTTCGGAGCTTGTACCCTTGAAATCTTCGTCACTATCCGGATCGTCTTCACTGCTTATGTCAAGGCTATTCAGCTTCCGATGTTTCTTACGTGCTAACAATCGTATTTTGTTCCTAGCAACCGTATTTTGTTCCTCTTCTATGTCATCGATTACATCTTCATTCTCAAGCTTATATTCTTCATCACTTTCTTTTTCCGGCTTTGATTCCGTATCATCCTTGTCCTCTTCTAATTGCGTCATTTTTAACGCTTCAGCCTGTAAAATAAATAAATGCAGCATATTACATCTGATAATACATGTTACATTTCTATTTTATATATCTATTTATAATTATTTCAACTTACCTGTGCCTCTTCCTTTTCCGCATTAACAATCGTTGCAATATCCTTGCCTCTTCCTTGATTGCCAGCACCTTGAACTGCTTCAACTTCATCTTGAATTGCAGCATTAATCATATCATCATATTCATTAAACTTGTAGGTGCTGGCGCACCGACGTTCTCGTAACTGATAAACTGGCTCCTCACTTTCCTCGCTACTCGATATTTCGGAACTGGTGCCCGACGAAGAAGATTCTGAAGATTCTACAAAAATATATTAATATCGCGTATACTATAGTAATACACGATAATATTAATTAACATAATGTCACATTATTTAAAAGAACTTAAACAAATGCAATATAAAATACTGATATTCACCGTTGTCTGATTCTTGACTGGATGCTTGCGATCCTTTCGATCCGTGTTGTGTTTCGCCTTTATGAAGTACATTATCCAAACTTATGCCGACAAAAGCCAATCGTTTCTTTCGTAACACTTCATTCTCGTGTCTTTTTGTTAACTGATCTAGTGTTTTTAGAGTTTCCCGTAATTTGGTCACCAATAAAGTCTTGAAAGATAAGTTTATTAAGTACATTTGACATATATATAAAAATCTTGTGAAAAATGTGCAATATTATGTATTTATGTGTGGACAATTTACAAAATAATTATACGAAAATAAAAAAAACTTATATAAAGAAAATATAAACTTACATGTTGGCATGGAGGGCAGAACCAGTCGCCTTCGGGTATAAGCATAAGAGCTGGCCTGAGACAGGAGCAATGCCAACCTTTATCGCAAGAATCGCACAAAAGAATCCATTCGGGATGATCAGCCTTGCCACATTTCTGACAGGCATATTCATCCTCAGCTTCCTCAACATCACTTTGGGCTAATGGATAGATATAATAGAATAAGAGTCCCATTATATATAAATTTCTCTTTAGCAAAGAACTTACCCTTTTGTGCTGTTCTAGCACGTCTTAAAGGTTGAGGCTCATGATCCTTTTCGAGATCACTCTCAGGAGAAAATTCATGATCACTTTTAAACAATAAAGATCCTTCGCTTTCCATATCTTCGTCCATATCCTCTTCTTCATCTTCATTGTCATTCTCTTCGTCACTGCTAGATCCAGATGAACTCTGCCATGGATTCGCTTCGTTAAATTTAGCAAGCATCTTCTTTTTCTTCCTCTTTCGACGTCTCTTTTTAGACTTTTTCTCCTTTTCAATTTCTTTTATGATAACTTCCTCCTCACTTTCCGGCTATGCGACACATAAGATATTATGTAACATTATATAAATTATAGTTACAGTTTTCCATATGTTTATCATAAAACAATTACCTTCTGCTTTTTTCTTTTTTTCTTTTCTGATTCTTTTTTCTCTTCTATCTCACGCATAGATTCCTCCTCGATTCTACGCCTGTCTGCTTGTTCCTTTATTTTCAATTGCGCTATTCTTCTTGATTGCCTAACAGGCGTTTCATCCTGTGCTGTTACTGGTGTATCCGTCTCCAATGAGATATCTCTACCTATTTCTAAGCCTAAGACCATTTTTCCTGTAAAAAAAGTTTTTTCAATTAACAGACTTTCACAAATACTGCATATCCCATATCACTATACATATGTATACTTACGTTTTTTCCGTTTCTTCTGTGCTGTATTTAAAGTATCGTTAGGTGTTTCATCAAGATGAGCACCAGGCGACGTCTGATCGCCCTGAAATTCTGCGAGTTTTGGCCGACTCGGACGTCCACCACCCCGGAAACCACGCCTCTTTCTACCCCTAGGACGACCCCTAATCTTTTTGTCGTTCATTGTTGTTTGCATAATATTCGGATCATCACCGCTGCCCTCTTTATTCGCATGCTCCACTGCATTATCAGGATCACATTTCACAGCCTCATCCTCGGAGCTCATCGCCACTCCACGACTTTCCTCGATGGACTTTCGTAATTCTTTATCCGGCAAACGTTTTGCGCGTAACTTCATCCTTTTGCCACCCATCATTTCTTCATCTTCTTGCTTCACTGCTCCATCCTCAGAATTCGATTCATGAGCGCTGTTTCGCCGCTTTCGCGAGATCTTTGGCGTTTCTGTAGTGCTGTCCAATTTCCATCCCTCATAAACTAAATCAGATGCCGATTTTACGCGAATACTTATCTTAGAAGTGTCAGATGCATCTTCGGTAATATTCTTTAAAGCATCATCAGAACATGCTAAGGGATCTGTTTCTTCTGGTACATTAAAAACATCTTCATTATCCACGCCTGTCGAATCATCAGAAGCTTCAGAAATATTTTTCATCTCAATGTCCTGAATTTCAGAAGATTCTTCCCTCTCTGCAGTTTCTAAATCGACCTTCTTCGAACCTTCAGCAACAGCCATGGAATCGTTTACTATACCGAAATCATTTTGAAACAACTGCGTTGTAGAGATCGTTGATCTCGTTTCATCCTCGGTTTGTAGCTTTAACTTTTCGGCCTTATTGGAAGTATCTAAAGTCTTAGACGTTTGCATATCGGAATCTGTTAAATTTCCCAGTGTCTTATCATCGGTTTCTATACACGGAGGCTTAGACTTTAACGGAGGAACATCTTCTATATCCGAGACATCGATCAGCCTCTTACTGGCTTCTTTCTTTGGATCAGATTTTACAGTACCAATTTCTGAAATAATCTTCTGAGCGGAAAATGTTGTCGATTCATTATTTGCATCTGAAGGCTCATTCTTATCAAAATTTTCCGTAATCTTATTTACATTCATGTTTATACTAAAAGGCTCATTTTGATTGTTGCAACTGTCCAAGTTATTAACATTGTCCATCTTCGTGGACATTGAATTTGAATTATACAAGGCAACCATAGACGTGCTTCCTTCTAAACTTGCATTCTCAGTTTTCCACGTACGTGATTTATCCTCATCTAAAGTACTATCCAACTTTGCTAACATAATACCTGATTCTGTTTGAATTAATGGTAAATTCACTTCTTCCGTGAACGATTTAGTCAAACATTCTTCTTGCGACTTCTCGTCCCATTTATTGTCTTCATTACCATGGTCGAGATCTTCTTTAAATCTTTTGCACGGAATAGGCAATTCTTCAGAATTAAGTTCATTTACACTTTTCGATTTTGCGATATTCTCGATATCTAAATTGACATCTAATTTCTCGTCCATATTTTTTGCTTGCTCTGTTGCATGTATGTCAGTCACTTGATTGTCCGTAGCATTACATTCCGTGCTTTCTCGAGTAAGCGAAACCTTTATGCTTTTATTTGCATCACTTTCGTTGAAATCATTTTTAGATATTAAACAATCTGCCTTTTCCGTTGCCTCAAGAATATTTCGAGTGGCTTGCATCTCGATTTTTTTCGTATTATCAATTGAATTATTGAGATATTCTCTATTTTTCTCGCTATGACCGATAGTCATCTCAAAACTTTTGTTTTGAAGAAATTCAGTTGTCTCCTGAATCGTGACCGGAGCTACTGAAAGCTTCGTCACATCTGACACTTTAGAATTATCAGTAGTAGGAATATCCTGAATGTTCATTTCCTCTTGAAGTTCATTCTTATTTAAAAGCATTGTTGATTGATCAGAACGATATTCAAGATTATTGCAGGCAGATTTGATTTGTGTTTCGTCGACACATTTTTGTTCTTTAATTTTTATGTATTGCTCTGTGACTATAGTTATATCTTGATTCAATACTTTCGTTTCTGAAGGTTCTATTTGTAGTTCGGTAGACGTTGATTCTTGAGACATATCAGCAGAAACTAAATTTGTGCTGTCGATATCTTTTTCTTTCTCAGGTGATTTTTTGTACTGCTCTTCATCCGTTTTTTGTTCTATGGGGGCACCAGCACAATCTTTAGAATCGTTTATTTGTGTCACATCAGGTTCGAAAACATTATCGCTACCATTATCATTGGAATCGCTATCATAATTCGCAACTAGTGACTGTTTGTTAACATTCACGATTTTTACTTGTGATTCCTGAGAAATTATATCTACAGTGTTTATTTCCGATTGTTCGACAGTTACAGTTGTATCTATCTCTGAATTTTTGTTTGTAACATTTTCAGCAATCTCTTCACTTACATTAATTTTACAAGCCTCCGCAAGTATCGTATCTTGTTGATCAGTGTTACAAATTTTACTCTTGTCTTTTACAGTCAATTCTTTAAGATCGTTAGAAATTCTGCTTTCTGCATCAATTTCAGATTTTTCTTTTTCCAAGATTTCAGTTTTCGTCACTGATAAGTCAATTTCGAACTGACAAGATTCATGTGCAATATTCATAAGAACTGGAGCTTCTTTCTCAAATTCTTTTGATTCTTGCATTGTATCTTCTCGCATTGTATCTTCTCGCATTGAATGTTCTTGCATTGTATGTTCTTGCATTGTAACGTCTTGCATTATATTTTCTTGTGTTTTATTTTCTTGTGTTGTATTTTCTTGCATTGTAATTTGTTGCGTTGTAACTTCTTGCGTTGTAACTTCTTGCGTTGTAACTTCTTGCGTTGTATCTTCTTGAATTGTATCTTTTGGCGTTGTATTTCCTGATTTTTCATCATTCATTGCAATCTCCTCAGTTTCTTTATACGATTCATTCGATTCAGACACACGATCATCTATAACCATCTCACCATTCGAATCTTGATCAATGCAAGAACTGGGATTTTCAGAAACATTGTCCGCGTACTCGCTTGTAGACTGAATTAAATTAGATGAGCTAATTTCTTTCATAGTTTCGACACTACCAGACTGTTCACAAATATTCGTTTCAGGCACCGTTATAGGCGAAATATTGAACGTAGAAGGCTTATCAGTATCAGACGAAGTATTTTCACCTTTTTCATCATCTATTTGCACAGGTTCGCTCTCTTGAGATGAAGAGTCTTGTGCAGAGGCATCGTCTGAACTGCTTATAGTAGGAACTACATTGTGTTTATCACTTTCTCGAACCGATTCCGAACTGGTCACCACAGAACTTTCAGGAAGATGTGTTTCAGAATGTATATCGAACACAGTATCATTAACTTGCACATCGTTCAATCCTTTGGATTTAATTTCTTCAGAATCACCTGACCCATCATCGTGGGTTCCTATATCAGATAATGCATCAGTTCTTTCGCTATTCTTATCGTAGTTAACACACAACGAGTCAGCATCAGAACCAGTCAGGCCTTTCATTTTCTCATTATCCGTGTCGGTTGAATGATCTTCCTGGCCATCGATTTCGGAGAAATTGTCATTCTTGTCACTCTGCTTGTCACAATTCTCTCCGATGAAATCTAGATCGGTTTTCTCGAGCCTATTTGCTTCCTGATAACTCGTAGATTCCACTTCATTCGTGGAAATCGAATCTAATAGTTCGTTTGACTTGTTAACGTCCTCAAATTCCCTGAGATCAGCTAGCTCTGCTTGCGAATTTTGTGTAAGTGGCAATAAAGACGAATGCGCCATTGTCTCGGATTCAATTCTGTTTTGCTCTTCCTTACAAACATTTGTACTATCAGACTGATAATCATTCTCGTTTTTAGAGTCTTCGGCCAGTAGTTTATCCTCTTTATCATTCAATAGCTGTGATGTCACATCCGATCTTTTAAAAGAATCTTCTTGACTCTCTGTACTTACAAGATTTTCAGAATCGATAGACTGATCGCATTGCGATGGTTCGACAATCCCACATTCTGCTGGCTGAACATTAGATTCGCTATTCGAATTGATTTTAATTGAATCTTCTTCAGTTACACTTATGTCATTAATACTTTCAGTTACCACTTCTGACGTAGGACTTGTATGCAATTTTGTGCAATCATCCTCTGCCATTTTTTTATCCATACAAATAGATTCTTGCACACTTGACTCTTTGCTCGCTTCTATTTCAATTTGCGCGACAGATGAACTAGCAGCATTGTACTCGGACGCGGTGTTTGGATCTACTGAGCTATTGGGCGTCAAAATTTCTTCCTTTGTTTGATTCCATGTGTTACTTGGCGCTTCAATTTTTTCGATATCTTTGCTATTATTTCCACATAAAACGCTGTCAGATTCCAAAGTAAACACATCTGATTTCAACGAATTATTGTTTGTTTGCGTCAAATCAAAATCTTCCGTCTTGTACGAATAAACAGTATCATCCGCTGACTTCGACGAAGATACGCATTCATATTGCACAGTGTCCGTTTTATCGTGAATGGACGTAGTCAGGCTTTGTTCCGATTGAGATCCTAATTCATCAGATTTCGAAGTATACGAGATGCAATTGGGACCAAAAAAAAATCTCGGCGGAGATGTAGCTGCTGGTTTGCATTCATTATTCGTTATTTCGAGAGTATCTGGTTCGCGCGAAACCACGCTACTCGAATCAAATAAATTTTGTGTAGTGGCTGAATCAGTCGTAGGTTCAGGATCTGTACATGGTTCAGGTTCTTGCAAAGTGTCCGCTTGGCACGACGATATCGACGAATCGCATTGCATAGGCTCTTGAAGTGTACAGTCTCTTTCCTGTTTCGTACTTATATTTTCCGAACTTATGTCGGGCACTTGTAATTTAACACTATCTTCGATGGCTTCACTGCCTATGTTTACAAAGTCATCTACTTTAACGCCTTGATCCACATTAGCGGAATTCTCATGTTTAGTTTTGGCCGATTCAGCATCCACATTCAGCAGCTTCTCTTCCACATTATCACGCTCATGATCATCTGTATTTTTTTTCACTGATATGTCTCCTTCATTTGATATGATACTACTGTCACATTCTTTCTTCTCTTCTGGTTTTCCCACATCCCACCTGGACAACCTTTTGACAGGACCGGTTGTACTTTTAGGTATTATCTGGACGCCTAACGTGTGCTTAAACTTTGGCTTTTCTTGTATAGAATCTACTATTTGACAATTATCGTTTACGCTTACATTAGACTGTGGATAATTTCTATTTAATTTTACAGGGGTTTTGTTCGACAGTATCGAACCTGTAGATATCTCGTCTTCGGTTAAAACCTTATTCTGCGACAGCGCTGTGGTAGCTGAGTCAGGTTCAGTTTTTGATTCGTTGCTTTCTTTATTGTCAGTAGGCGCGTCGTCGCCAGGATTACCCGTTCCACATTCCGCGCCGGAACCTTCGCCGTAGAAAAAAGTCGTCGGTTCCTCTATAGCCTCTCCAACAATGGGATTTACTGCGTCGCAGTCGCTGCCAGATCCCTCGCCTTGAACCATCATTATAGGCTCCTCGATAGCCTCACTTACCTCATCTCTCCAGTTACCACTTATCATCGGTCTCTTGTCTATAGAGCCCCTAATTGGAATTACATCCGCCCTTATCCTCTTTAGCATATCTTGCTGTATGTCATCATCCTCTATAGGACGTTTCAGTGGTGCACTGTTCATCCTCAGCGTCGTAATCTTGCTGGGATCAGAAAGTATCGCATAGCTTGGTAATCTGTGCTCATCCTTGGCAGGTAATCTAGCTGTATTATGATACGGCGTCTCGTACGCGGTAAACGGCATTTGTCTCTTACTCAAATCAGCCACCATCACATGATTACGTAACATTACGCTACGCGCATCGTATGGCAGATTCGACATTTCTGGTTTGTTTATCTTCTTCGTACTCAGATCCATTTCTCGATGCTGGAAATCTTGCGTCCTGTAACCAGGAGAAGGCAAATCCATTGTTTTTCCCAATTTTCGACTAGAAAGATCAATTCCAGAGAAATCCACCGGTCTATTTTGCTCGTTTGCATTTTCCCAACCACGTGGTGACGTTGACAAGTCTATGCCTCTATGACTCCTGTGCGTTGCCGACTTTTCGGATTGATTTCTCGCGCAAAAATCTTGTGGCAGCCTATCATCCTCTCCGTTTACCATATTTCCCAACATACTACTAGACCTTGCTAAAGTTTCTGCAATCTTTTCCAGCGATTTCGGCCCACTTGGCTTCTCCAATTTCTCTGACTGTATCCTTACAAGATTTGCAGCTAATTGGTCGATTGGTTTGACGGATAGTTTATTGTGCCCCACAGAAATAGAATCTGTAGTCGAGAAAGGTAGACTATTCTTGCTAGACAATTTCTCGAGAGCTTTTATCTCGTCGGAAGGACCATGTTTTTTCATTGCGTTTAAGGGCGCAATAACAGATGTTGGACTTACTAACTTTTCTTCTGGCAATTGCTTCAATTCTGCAATATTTACTAGTTTCAATGGAGACGAAGTAATAACAGGCGTTTCTATAGATTTAATTAATGGTGCCGGTTCTTCAACTTCAGCTTTTATAACACCGGTCTGCTTGTGTATTATTGAGGGTTTGCTTTCTGATACCAAGAAAGCGGACGTTTCGTCAGTAGCCTCTCTGTGGCTCGCATCTTCCAATTTTACATCCACTTTCATGTTTAGCATCTTTAAATTAGTCGCCGATGAAGATGAATCATTTGTACACCTTGATTCTGTGCTCGGAGTTTGTACCATTTCTTGAGAATCGTCTTCCTCCGTAATCTGCTTGGAACTTTCATCATTCGTCATATCTTCTTCTTCCGCGTCAATATCTTCTTCTTCATCAATTTCTTCTTTTTCGGTTTCATTAATGGTAGCATTCTGAACTTGATTTTGATCCTGGTCTTGATCTTGATCATGTTCTTGTTCATCCTCTAACTCATCACTTCTACCGTTTGGTAGCTGCTTCATTTCGTGAACGCCGTTTTCTTGCACAACTTCGTCTTCTAAGCTTGGAGACGTTGTTACTTGTCCAGTGTCAATTATAGGTTTCTCAGAGATTTCCAAACTGTTGCTATCCTCATTAATTGGTATAGCTCCGATTTCGCCATTTGACAAGGTACTTATGAGATTAACAACACCTTCTCGATCCCTATTATAAATAATATATGCATTGATAGATGTAAAGAATAATAATAAATGACAATGCAAATAATAATAGCTTCAGCATATTAATAAAAATAACAGTTTAGCTTTTGTTAATATTTAACTTATAATTAGTATATAAGACAGACTTACTGAGCTACTAATTCCCAATTCTCTTCATCTAAATCTTCTCTATAAACTCTTATGTTGCACTCTTCATCCAGCTGACACCAGTACGCTAATCCACTTTTGTCCCTTCCTAAAGGTTCCACACGCAACTCGTTAGCTGCCAATTTGTTTACTTCATTCTTAAACTTTTGATTTAAGTCAAATTGTGTTTCCAATAATACCTAAAATAGAAAAAGTATTTAGTATTATATATAAGATAGATTAACTATTTGATTCTACAGACAGACAAGAAGAAAGAAAATACAATTATAATTTATACTTTAAGTAAACGCAGTTTAACAGCAATGCGAGCTTTCTTGTAACCGAAGCGTTCAAGTTCCCATCCATCCTGGTTAGAGTACGTGTGGCAAAACTTGACTAGCGCCCTTTCCCACTTTTCTGGTGACACGGATTTACGTGTTTTTCGCAACAACTTGATGTGTAGATCTATTAATTCTTGCGACACTAAAAAAATATAAATTTATAAAAAATAAAAGAGAAATAATCATATATATACTTTTTTTTTACAGCACGTATTACATACATACACAATTAGCTTTCAAATTACAAGATTTTATTGCCAACATAGTTATGAATTTGTATGAAAACCTTATCAATATATGTATTTAAATCTCCGATAAGATATTTATTAAAATACCTAATATATAAAATAATTTAAATAAAAAAACCAAATGACCAGGAAAAAAACATTACTTCAAAAATATTTTTCCAAATTTAAATTAAATTTAGAATGATATAAACAATTCGAACCTAAAGCGTAAATGAAAATCCGAATAATATGAGAAAAAATTGAGCACTGCTTTGTTTACGTTATTCTATAGGAAACAATCGTCGACGGATTCTGGAGCGCTTAAATCGGTATCAATCAATGATGTTTCCCCAGAAATCGGAGCGGAGCAGCGTAAGCGCGTTGCTTGTAAACTTGTAATCACGTGTAATCGACAAGCTGACAAGGTGGCAGCACGCGGCGGAACAACAACGTGAAACCCCCCCGTATCTCTCGGCTGTATCTGTCAATAGCGCAAACGCTTCGCGGAGGGAACGTGTTATTAGATCGTTCAGGTCGGCGCGAAACCGCGCGGAACGCGAGGGAGGAACGCGTAGAGAGGGACGGCCTGTAAGTTACCTATACCGATATCTCGCGCCAAGTCGCTCGCACACACCAAAACAAAAAGTAGCAATGAAGACGGCGACGGCGGCGGTGGCGGCGATGGCGATGGCGACGGTGACGGCCGCCCGTTTCCACTGTCCGCCGTTCTTGCTCCTCGAAGGAAACGAGAGAACGAAACTGCCTCCTCTGCCGGAACGAATCAATTGACGGATGAATAGATAAAACGAACGAACAAGGCCTCGCAGTCGAAGCGGAGACATACGAAAGAAACTAATAGTACGCGCTTAGACGACTGGCCTCTCGCGGGGGCGGGTCGCTGTCGTTCTCTCTCGCTTCCTCCCGCGCATCTCCTCGCACACTTCGTCTCTCTTCCTCTCACCGTCTAGCGGCGCATATACAACACTAGGTCTCTCTTTCTCTCTCTCTCTCTCTCTTTCTCTCTCTTTATGTCCCTCCCTTCCTCCCGCGCGCGCGAGAGCACGTACACACAAGTGTAGAAAGAGAGAGAGAGAGAGAGAGAGAGAGAGAGAGAGAGAGAGAGAGAGACAGAGAGAAAGAGATGGATAGATACAGACTGGAGCAGAGACCCACCTTCTTGCGTATTCTCGAGCATCTCCTGGAGCCGAGCGATGTCCGGATAGATGATGCCGCAGGACTTGCCGAAGCAGGCGAGAAATGAGCAGATCACCGCGAAATTTGGGTCACTCGCGCAAGAGGCTTCGTTATCGGACGCCATTTTTCCGACCGCTTCTCGCCGTTGGGCCCCGTCGCCACCGCCACCGCCGCCACCGCCGCCGCCGCCGCCGCCACCACCGTCACCGCCGTCGTCGCCGCCGTCGTTGCAATCGTCGTTGCCACCGCCGTCAAAGCAGGCGACACTATTATGTTAAACCGCCCGACTCGCCGTGTATCCCATTTTCCTCACACACGGAGCAGCCGTCGATCACTAGTGCCAATAACGTCAACACCAACACCAGCGACAGCAATAACACAGGAGTAGCAGTAACGTAACGTGACAAACTGCGTGCGCGCGCGCGCGCGTGCTTAATCGGACCGGCACCGTCAGCAGGTAGTCAGTCGCCGGGCGTCCCGATGCCGACGCTTCCCGCTTCCTCGCCACTCTCGTCCTCCTCTACCTCGTTGAGATGCGCCCTCGCGCTCGCTTCGTCTCTCGCTTCGCGCGTCTCCTCTTCTCTACCTGCCACTACCGCGCGGACGAGGCCGACGAGGGGACGCGAGAGAGACAGAAAAAGAGGAGGGGAAGGGGAGCGAAGGGATCACAACCACACGCTCGGTGAGAGAGAGAAAGAGAGAGAGAGACGGAGGTACTCTCTCTCCTCCGCCCTCTCTCGAGAACGACAAGCGAAAAGAAGCGGCGCCGCCACTTCTGCCTTTCTCTCTCTCTCTCTCTCTCTCTCTCTTTCTTTTTCTCTTTCTTTTTTCCTCCCGCGCTCTTTATATCGTATCTTGGATATTTCCGTCCTTCTCTGTATGTAACGTTCTTCCTTCTTCTTCTTCTTCTTTTTTTTTCCTTTAATAAGAATCACGGACACAACACATCACGCGTTAAAACTCTCTATGCGCGTCTGTTCTCTTTCCCTTTTGTCCTTTCCGTTTTTCTATCCTTCTTTTACAGAGCACTACACACGCACACGCACACTCTATGTCTCACTTCGTCGATGCCGAGCGCGCGCACAACGTACGCACGCACGTCGACAACGACGACGTTATAGTTAAGGATTACGTGCACGTAATCCGCGATCCGAGACAAGTATTGCGCGCGACACGAGCGAAATAGTTTCACTAGGAAGTTGCGCGGATCGAGACGCTCACGTCCTAGACGAACGTTAAGTGTGACGCCGCGATCACCGAGTCACCGGGTACACACGAGTGGCGCAGAAACGACCACCACGACGACAAAACGCAGCACTGGACATCGCCTTCGGGATTGGAAACACTCCAGGGGTTCTCAACCTAGACGACAGACGCATTACTGCGCCAGGGCCGTATCCTGCGGAAAGTAATGCCTAGAGTAGGGTTACTAGTTGTACCCTTAAAAGAGGGGGAGAGTACATATATTCTTTTTCAGGTTGTAAAATTTTTTGACCATTTTATATTTATAAAATTATATTAATAAAAAATTATGTTTTAAAAGTTTTATTAATTAAAGTTTATTACCTACATTTTTTTTATGTAATAAAAAAATATATCTCTTCCTTCATTGTATTTTTTTTTTAAATATTTATATACATGTACTCTTTTCTTGTAATTTAGATAATTTAGATAATAATATAATATTTGTAGTCTAAGTTGACTTCGACGAAACTTGATCATTTATTATGTGTGCGATCAACGATCGATTTAATCCTTCGTCCCGAGGGACACATTTTTTATATCCGATGAATTCGTGTGAAATTCCTTGCAGTTTTTTGGGTCGCTGATTATAAATCTAAGGTCAGATTTAAAAAATTCCAAATGATAGATGTATTAAGTATTTAGATTATGGCTTCCACGAAATTGTATTTTTAGTTTTCAAAAACTTATTACATAATATAATTTTTTTCACACAGTAGACCAATAATTTTTTATAAAAAATCTAGCGTGCAAAAAATTCTGAGAAAAACATTATATTTTGTACATTATATTTTGACACGAAAAATGATGATATTTTAATATGAAGAATATTCAAAAAATTTTTTTTTTTCAGCCTCTTATCTTAAATACTTTCCAATAAACCACATTTTTCATTAAAAAAACTTTTTTTTCAACTTTATTTCATTATAAATGATTAGAAAAGAACAATCAGGTATAATCCCCATGGAAAACATGTAAAATAAGTAATAATATATCAAGAATGTAACGTAAAATCATAATTGATTTTATTAAAGTGAGCATAGCACATTTCAAAAATGGAAAAAAAAGAAGATTGGAAGTATACTTCCCACTGCCTCTCAAAGGATTAAGAGAATTACTTATGGAAAAATTTCAAATATACATATTTGACAAGTTTCTATTTATTATGTTAATAACATTTTACAGATATTTTAACTTAATTGTATTGTACTTTCTTATTGAAATTATTTAATTATTAAACATTTCTAAAATGATTATTCATATATCTATGTATACAAGCAGTGCGTGATTAACGTTATTAAACTTTTAAAAAAGTAATCGATTATTGGTGCGTCTTTATTCGTCTTTATTCGAGTTCAGAGAAAAATTGTTTCTATCTTTATAAAAAAAACTTTTTTATAGAAATTAATAGAAAATCATCAATATTTTTATGTGAGATTAATGCGTGGAAAAAGTCCGTAGAATTTCAAATAAAATCATTGTTTCCAAATAACATTTTTTTTTGTATCCTTACTCAAATCTTTATAGATGAATGGAAAACTCAAAGGCTAATTTTCAAATAAAAATATTCAAAAATTTTTTTTTGTAAAATAAAAAATAAAAAATAAAAAAAGTCGAACTGACGAGTATACTCTGTCCTAAACATATTTGTAGGAACACAGACGAACAAAATATACAGCACATGTGATTTAATTCTTTATAAACTTACAATAAGTGCAGGGATTCTCAATCGATTTGATCCACTCCTGATCGTACCTGATAGTCTTTAAGCCGCGTCCACGAGAACATTTCTTTCTCTACCTTTCTTGTTCCTTCTCTTTCTTTCTGTTATTATCTTCTTAATCACGCATGAAGCCGATGTTCGTTCGGATCTGATCGACGAATCATTCGTCGTCACGATAAGTTCACGTGTCACTGTCGAAAACGGAGATCACTCGGAAAGAGCGCGAAAACTTTACAAGCTGAATGTATAAACTGTGCATGTGTCCTACGTTCGCTTCACTGAACGACGCTCTCGCTCGATGACGTATCTGCGCAGTTCGCAATACGTAGAAAGCATGAGCACCATGTTGCAGGGCAGTATCTAAATCGCCAGATATCCCTACTCATCCATGCATAATACAATATTCTGTACTTAAATTATGTGACGTCAAAATGATATGCTTTTTATTTACAAAACAATCTCTTTATACACACAAATATACAAATTGAAAATAATAATTAATAATTAAAATTGATAATTTTTTGGTTTCGTTAAGAAATCAAATATTAATTAATATTATTAATAAATATTACTATAAATATTTATTACTTACAAGTTAATAACATTAAATCTTTTAAATTTTTATTACCTTCCAACAACAAATAAATACGTTTTATTTTATAATTCTTTTAATCTATCGATTCTTTGTGTGTTCTTTTTTTCTAGATTCAATATCTTCTCTTTAAATTTGATAAATGAAACTAAAAAGGATAAATTTCAGAAATTTTATTGATTATACTTTTTATAAAATTTCTAGATATCGTAATAAAAATAGTTCTAATAAATTTTTTGTTATATTTTG